ACAGATCAGAAAAGATTAGGATTACTGATTTAGAGATCACGGTTACTTTCCAAGTTTGTTCCCTTGGCCACACATAATGTGTGTATGTACTGTATGTATGTCAACAACATTTATGAAATACATCTATCTCACTGCCTTTGCACTGTCATAGCCCAATGTGATAAAAGAGTTAAACATTTACCTTCTACCAGGAGCAATTACACACTAGAGCCAAACTGATACTTGGCACCTATTGCTTGTAGTTGCCTTTTAGAATCAGTACGTGCAGTGGAATCACATCAGTTGAGTCAGCATTTTAGATAGTTCTAGTTTTGACAACTTGAGACTTCTAATAAAAGAACTAAGAGCAAGAGCAAGCATAGAATATTTACTCCAATTCCCACAAAATATCAATTTCCTCTAATTTAACTTGTGCTTTAAAAATTAAGCCAGATACTGGGTTTTACAAAGTTTTAGTGCTTGTAAATTGCTGTAAAGCTGTTGGAATTCAGGAAATAAAAACTAAGTAAAAATGTCTAGAATTCAAGGGAATTCTAATGCACAGTGAATGATCAACTGCACAGAATAGCATGTTTTGTGCCATTACAGTCAATTATTGCTTTATATGATAATAATCAGCATCTTTATGTTTTGCCTAAAGAAATTGAAGACACTACTGGTATTAAAAGCCTTTAACCTTGCCATCAGGAAGTAAACAAAGCAAAATAAGTACCATAGATGTCTCAGGAAGAGCTATAGTTGGTTTGAGCCCTTCTCCAAATAGTCACTGCGGTAATTAGAGGGAGGGTCAACAGTGGACACATAGACAAAAGGAGGCAGGGCCTCAATCATTGTGGTCACGCTAGACTTCTAAACCCGAAGATAGCAAAGAGTTACTCCTGTTTAAGAGATTGTAAGGATATAAAAACATAACGAAAGACCTTCTCTTTGCTATTATTTTAAACTTTGAATCCCCAGATAACTTTACTGGGAATTGTGGGAACCAAAATCCACTAGATCTGGAAGGTACAACCTAAGAGTTGGTTGAGGTACATTGCTAAATTTGGGTCAGGAAGATCTAAATTTGTATCCCCCTGCAGAACATTTCTCATGTTCTCTATAGTCAATTAACAAAGTTATTTTGAGAGTAGAATCAAGTCACTTTTCAATTATGGAACAGGGACAGATAATTCCCAATAACTATGTAAGAATGAATAAATACCATCCAGAGTCCAACCAGAGTGGAGCAGTTTAAACATTTCATGGATGGATGGATGGATGGATGGATGGATGGATGGATGGATGGATGGATGGAAGGTAGACAGATAAACAAAGATACATAATGAACAAGTTTCCTTCTTGTCTAAATAGGAAGAGCATGGCAGCTGTGAGTCTTTGCTTATGCTGAGCCACAGCTGTTTTATCTTCTTCCCATGTAAACAATTTCCATAAAATCCCACTGACAGATGCATATACTGTAGCTCCAGCCAATTCTTCCCAGCTCCACACAGATTCCCTGCTCATGCCTATCTATCTACACAGTGCCCTCTCCAGCTTAGTCACAGCTGTGGCTCCTTCTGCCTGCTTGTCTATGTTCATTGCTCAAGAGGAAGTTGAAAACGGGTTGCTTCATGGCAGAAGTCTGGAAGAATATTGCTAACGGTCCAGAGAGTTTCTTCCTCTTCCTCACTTTGTATCAATTCTGATTATGTCTTCCTTTAAAATCCACCTTTCAGAAGTGATCCCCCTCTTTATCCTACCTCAAGTCTTGCAGCCTTCAGAAGTTTTCTAGGAAGCACCGATACCCCCACACTTGGGTACTTACTGTCAGCGCCAGCTGTGCGGTTCAGAGTCGTGTGCAGAGGAGCTGGCCCTCCCACTAACTTCGCATACACATCCTGTGTGGGTGGCAGAGGCTACCACCCCTTCGAATCAAGAGAAAGACGAGGAAATTGTGCAAGGTAGCATGGCAGATGTTCAGATAAGCAGCTCTCACTCAAGCATCTAGTGGAATCTTGACAGAAGAAAAAATATGTGCGCAGCAGTCCACAGCAGTCAGAGACCATGAAGAGCATATGACATATGTCAGGATGGAAGGACTGGAACTTAATGCAGTGAAAGCTTACTGTTAAACAGCTTTAAAGGGGATATGAGTCAACTTTTCTCAGAAATTTGTCATTCATTCTGGAGGTGTGTCATAAGGCCTTATGTGAAGGCCTTGACTGAGAGTGATTTTTTAAAAGTTTCACTTAATGTCTATGTTTGTACTGGGGAGGCTTTCAAAATATTCTGCTTTCTTCCTAATCTGGGTTGTATTATGGACAGTCAGGTGATTCTGTTCCAACACCCACAATAATACAGTGGGACTTCTAAATCCTCATGTCGTGCTTTTCAACTATTTCCAGAGAAACCTCTATTTTAGTCTATGCTACCAAAAGGACAGGATCTTGTGCAGAGGTGAGTTCCTACTGGTTCGGCCCGGTTTGGCTGAACCAGTAATGATATGCTAGCCTGGGTCGCAGAACCAGCAGTGACCCAGGCTGGCCACGCCCCCGAACTGGTTCCCCGGTCGCCACCATCACCATCTTTTTGAACTGCATGCATGCATGAAGCGCACCCACGAGCGAACCGGCAGTAACGCCAGCCAGAACCCACCCCTGATCTTGTGATAATTTCAAGACTAACAGACTTTATGATAGCTTATATTCCTATGAGACCACATCAGGAGTGTCCAAACTGTGGGTTGGGACAAGAGCACCTGGGGCGGGAAGTGATCACAGATTTGCACAAGCAAAATAAAAGGCACTGTCAAAACTCACTCCTGGCTTTGTTCCTCATTTTGCTTGTGTAAATCTGCAGTGGGTGTTTTTTGTAATGCAGAATCCCTTACCGCATCCAATGCCACAGAAATGCCTTGAATGTTTAATATATCACTTTTCCCTATGTTTTTATTATTTATTCCACCCTTTTTAGTTAATTCATTTATTAAATTAATCTGCTGCCCATCTTGCCTAAAGGTGACCCTCGGCAGCTTAGAACCAACAATTTTAGGTATTCTGCAGATAGTCTTCCCACTCATTCAAGAACTGAAGGAAAATATTAGGGAGAGACCTTTTTTTTAGAGGAGGAGGAGAAGGAAGCATATCACTTCCAGCCAGTCTGAATTCTTACAGCATAGACCCGTGATGACAAACCTATGGCATGTGTGTCAGAAGTGGCATGCAGATCCATCTCTCTGGGCATGTGAGCCATCGCCCATTGCTTTTCTGGGTTCTGGTGCACCGGCCAGTTAGTCATCACACGCACAGAAGCGCCAGAAATGGGTAGAGCAGCCGCCTGGTGCACATGAACGCACCAGGAAGATGCTCTTCCAGTTTCTGGCGCACATGCATGTGCAAAGACCAGCTGGCCGGTGCACATGCATGCACCAGAAACCAGAAGATCATCTTCCCAGCACGTGCATACACACCGGTTGGCTGCTGTTTCGGTTTCCGGCACGTGCATGGGCATGGGCACCGGCCAGCTGATCTTTGTGCATACATGCATGCCAGAAACTGGAAAACCAAGTGGCCGTGAACATATTTGTGCCACAAACTAGAAGATCATTTTACCAGCATGCACTTGCACACCAGGCGGCTGCTGTTCTGGTTTCCAGCACATACGTGCTCCCATTTCGTCACTCGGTGCCGAAAAGATTCGCCAACACTGGCATAGACCCTTGACCCAAGGATAAGAATTTAAGACTAGTCCTGCTGGATCAGGCCAAGATCCATCTTAATCCAGGATTTTTGTTCCCTAGAGTAACCAACCAAGGTGCCATTCAGAAGCATATCCATCTTCCCCCTTATTCTCTGCTCTCCATCCATTCACCTTTTTGTTATCTGTTGTAGCCCAGCAGGAGCTGTTGGAGCTGCCACCAGACTCCGACAGCGAAGAGCATGATGAGTCGGCTATGGAGGATGTGGAGGACCCTGGACAGGNTACCTTAAAGATGCAAACTGACACAAACTCTGAATTATTACCTAAACATTTCTGAGGTTTACCATACATTCTTCAAGCTTGTGCAAAAAAAAGTGTGAAAAAGTATTTTTTTTGTCTGTTCTAAATGTCTTTCTAATCAGCTTCATTGGTAATCTCTATTCAAGGCAAGAGAAAACTTCTGTCTGTCCACTCTCCAACAAGTACGATTTTTAGACATTGATTATGTCACTCTTTTTTAGAGCTAAATAATCTCAATGTTTGTTCTGAATACTCTTTTCAGCTCTATTACATTTTTTTCCAAACCCAGCAATGAGAACTATACCAAGTATTCCAAAGATGGACATGCATTAGGGTTACATGAAGATGTTAAAGCACTAAAAATTTCACTATCTGTTTCCTCATATAGTAAGCCTAACCATAAACAGTGTGAAATTTGAATGACTCTTGTGCCTGTGTAGAATCCAGAACTGCAGCAGATGCAATTTACTGAGTTATGTTTAGGGTATTTAAAGAGTGATTCACAGTTCCAAAATAACTCCAAGTTATACACCATTTTGTCATTTTTTCCCCTTGAAAATACTTGTTTTCCAGACAGAAGCATTTTACAACAAGTAGAAGCAAATGAAAACAAAGGTAGGGTGAGATCAAATCTAAAATTTGACAGCAGCAAGGTTGGTAAATTTATATTTGGTGTCCTGAGAGTTCACACTATTGCCTGGTCAGAAATAATAGTAATAACTGGCTTCACAGAACATAAAATGCATTTTTTTCTTTTTTCTCTTCCATTCTCATCAATCTTTATATGAGGTAGTAATCGTGATCACTGACTCTCTTTTAGGATTATATTTTGAAGATTATTTTTGAACGGAACAGAAACAGGAACGAGAACGGAACAGAAACTCGGACATCCTTTTTCCGGAACAACGGTTATTTGGAGGATGAGAAGGCAGCAGAGACCGGCTAGCTAGCCGTCGAGTAAGTGGCTGCCCAAGCGAAGAGACGCAGCTCCCTCATCCCCTCCAATCCTTCCAGTTACTTACCCAGCACTCCGGAAAACAGTGAGAAGAGCACTAGGATTCTCGGACCTAGGTGGGAAAAGAAGTTCCCAATCATCGCGGGGGAACTTCTACTCATTGTATTCTTCCTTTCAACGAATGAATCTCCAAGGCGCCAGAAATAAGGATGCGGAACTGCATGGGGGCGGGCGATAAAGACTGATTTCGGGAATCCCTCGGTGGATAGTAGGCTTAAGTAAGGGCTTCCCTGCGACCAGTTGCCGGGGAAACAGGGCGGTGGGAAAGTCAAACTATTGCGAAAGTTCGAAATACGTTGCTCTGCGTTTCTTTATAATTCACTCCAATTCTTGCTCTCATCCCTTCCAAAAGTCTGACCATGCTGTGTTTGTGGTTCATTGCTAGGCGTAGGCTGTGTCAAAAACACATTCTGTCTTTCCCGTTTTCAGCAATCCGGAAATGACTGTCTTACCACACCTAATTGGCAGAGCCAGGCTCCAAAGAGTCCGTCTATGATACGCACCTTTGCGGGCTTCACTTTCCATTCTTTTAAAAGACTCAAATCTGCAGGTTTTACCACAAAAGTGTGCTTTTTCCAAAATATATGACTGTTTTACTTCCTTTCCACAAGAGGAGTAATTCCAGGTTATATCATTACTTAGATACAATGTCTCAATAGTATAATCCGGGTTTTTAAAAAATACTATTATCAATTTTATATGAATTTTATATGAATTTAGAATAATAGTGTCTATTTGTTTATGGAGATTCTCAGTGATGGCTGTCACAAAGGTGCTTTTTCCAGAGGCAACTGGACTTTCTGGTTTTTCTTTGAAGATGTTTCACTTCCCATCCAAGAGAACTGAAGAAGTTTCTTGGATGAGAAGCAAAATGTCTTCAAAGAAAAACCACCAAGTCGGGTTGCCTCTTGAAAAAGCACCTTTGGGAGAGTAGTGGCTATTGATTTTACAGTTGTCTAGTATCTCACATCTCCATGTCATTGTGCTCTACAAGTGTATGTGATAAGAAATTAAGAAACATGAAATATACTTATTCCGAATGTGAAGTATGTTTGCAAATTTTATGATTTAAAAATATAATTATTTCATCGGAAAATATTAGTTTACATACATTGGATACACTCCAGCCAATACTAAGGGGAAGGCATTAGACTTTGTATATTAGTTGTAAGAAATTTGAAGGTTCTTTCACTATGGTCGGGTCTAATCCAGCCAGTGCCTTGTTTTCGTTTTATATTGCTACAAATGTTAATACGAGTTTTGGAAGAAATATTATAGTTAAGGAACATGATGTGATATTAAACTAATAATAAACTATGGAATTTGTCATCTCATGAAGAACTTTGGAATAGAGCATAGTTGGTATAAATGTAAAAAATATATTTTCTTGATTTTAAGGAATGAGTCCAGGGCATGAGTTTATTATTTAGTTCTAAATAGTCTGTTTGTTTTTTAAATGAAAAGATGATGAGTATGTTTTGATAGGGTTTAGATCTTATAAACTTCAGGATTGAATTAATTTTTCTGTTGTCTATAGTTATATGGATCTCTTGCCACTCCCACAAACTAATTCGGGTTTTCTGGGCACAGGGGAGCATCTCAGTTATTTTAATCACTATTGTGTGTATTTAGTTTTTTTCTTTTTTACTATTTAACCATTATATTTTTGTTGCTGCTTTTTATTTCACCACTTTTAAAAATGCAAATGCCATGTTTGAATTGTCTGAAAACTATTTATATTTGAGTAGAGCCATAGTTGGCCCTAAGCTGATAAAAAGTACTGTCCTTCATGCCACAGAAAGCATCTAACATCTAATGTAGTAGACTGATCCAGAAACAGTAAAACCTACAAATGTGATCCTTTTAGAGATATGCTACTTTTAGAACAAATTGAACACCATCAGATCAATAAACCACATACTAACAGTATTTCTGTCTTCTGGATTGAACTTCACTTTTTGGTTGTTATCTTGTCCAATAATAAAGCCAGAAATTTATTTAGTAATTCCTGTACCACACTAGATATGAATAAAAGGAGAAATAGAGCTGGGTTTTACCAATATTCTGAAGACACTGATGATACTTTTTTCTAAATCACTAAATTATTTACTCAGTGATTTCATAAAGGTATTGAACAACATGGAAGAAAAAATACATTGGTCTCACAACGGCTTCATTTAATGAGATTGGAACCGATTTCTCTAAGGGAAGAAATGTATAGCTTCAGTGACCAAACTAAATGTAATAAGCCATGAGGAACAAAAGACAGCATAAAGTAAGGTTAACCAAATTTTTTCAAATACTTTATTGACATCAGTAAGGTGATTCCAAGAAAGAGAGATGGCCCTGGATACTTTTACAAATTAAAGTATCAGAATTGCAGAGTCTAAGATCAAATTTAATTTGATCAAATAGTTTGCTTTTAAAGTATTAAACCAACATGTTTCAGTAAGCTGCTGAAGTTTTGATTTCTCACTGAGCTGGATTCCCCAAATCCCCGAACCACTACTGAGAAAATTCCAGTAGTGATACTGCAAGTATGCATTAGTAAAGGAAACAAAGATTTTCACCTTTATCACTACCACAAAGTTGGTTCAATAATGAGTTCTTACTAGAGTTGGTTCAGAGCTGAGTTTTCTTTTACCTTCATTCCAGTCATTTCTATCTTGTTCTTTTGCAAGTACTGAGTTACATAACAAGCAACTGAATGGGGTTGACATTGGAGATAACACACTCAAAAATTATTGGCCTGTTCTTATCTTTATCTGAACAGACACAATTTTAAAAAAAGTTTGCAGTATAAAACCTGCAAGAACTTTCTACAATATATTTCCATGCTGCCCTGGTCTAATAGATTCTCCATTCCTGAGGGATTGTCACTGGTCAATCTCAATGTGAAGTTATCTCATCATAGTTGGTATAGAATCCTCCTCTTTCAGACCACTGTCTTTTTTCCCAATAGAAAATAAAAACAGATCCACAGAACCAAGCATATTGAGCCAATAACAAGTTTGAGAACCACAATTTTCTGAATAAAATATGAGCATCCGCAACTAAGCCAGTTCCAGCATGAATGTTGACATTTCCCAGGACTTATGATACTGTTGAATATAGAATTCTTCTGGACCACTTACAGTATGAAGGTTAGGAACTGACGGCATCATTTTATGGTGATTTTTTCCCCCTCAGTTGTCATAGGGCGTAGGAGAGAGAGTTTGGGGCTTTAGCTTTTACATTATGAGATGACTCAAAGCTCAGGCATCTGTCATCCTATCTGGCAGCTATACGAAACCTCACCTTAATCACTTGGCCTGCCAAAGTCATAAACACTTTGCTACTCCAGAGCTCCTTTGGGATCTGAGTGCCCTTGAGCTTCTGGCGTAAGAAATGTTATAGAAATGATAAGTTTTACTGTAATGTTATTTACTATTTCTGTTATTGCCTACCATTGTACACTTATGTTATTTTGCAACGGTTGTGGGCTATTGCTCTTGTACAGTATAGACTAGTTGTGACTAAAGAAGTTTATAAAATAAATAAATGAAAACCCAGCCATTTGTGAACAATTCTGTCCAGTAGCAAGAAAACTCTTTATTATCTAATGGGAGTTCAAATCTTGATGGGATATTGATACACTCAAAAGAGTGGAAACAAGATGATTGTTTTTCTCCAAAGTTTTGTGAGATATTTCCTGAACTTAGAATGTTTGAAACAGCTATGTTGATTTCAAAATATATTTTCTTTAGAATGTTTTGCATATCTCATGGATTCCAGGCTTTCTAATATGAATAGTGCTGCTATAAGGTATGTGAATTGGCCACAGATTAGCTTTTTGCTACCAAAGTTACAATCTAGTTGGTGTAAGAAAAGACATAAAAATGAAGAAATATCAAAAGAGTTCAGAAATATGAAACGTGCTATGTTTGTCAGGTCAAAGGGGACTCTAGTGTGCCATGTTCTTAAAATCCTGCAAAGTATGTGAGTTTGTGAAATACCCAGGTGTGTTAGTTTCCAAAGATATTTTAGTTTATTTCTTATTCAGAAAGTAGTTGAATTCAAATTCTATATGGATGTCAAATCAGGGGTGGGTTGCTATGGGTTCACCCGGGTTTGGGAGAACCCATAGCAAACGTAATGGCTGGTTCGGAGAACCTCCAAATCCTACCCCTGGCTGGCCCTGCCCTCCCTGCCCCTCCCAGGAGTCTCCACGTGGCCCGTTTTGGATGCAAGATAAATGCAGGGCCCGCATAGAGGCTTTGGGAGGGAGGGGACGGGCCTCCTGGAAGTTCTGGTGGTTCCCATGGTTCAGGAGACCGACTGGGCGATGCCCACCATGGCCACACCCACCCAGCAACTGGGCAGAGAACCCATTGCTGAAATTTTTGAAGCCCATTCCTGTGTCAAATATAATAATGTGAATGTATTAGCAAAAGAGACAGAAAACTCAAAAACACAACAATAAATGTGTTTATTCAATAATCTCAACAGCAGACAGTTTTCAGAGTGCTGCTATATGCCTAGTCAGGTATAAAAGCCATCAACAGAACCACCTTAATAAGCTTATCCTTTGGCAGTGTCATGTAGCATAGCAGAGTTGGCTTCTGTAACAGCTAATAACAGAAACTGATTACTGTATGTTTGTGGCAATCCCTCCTTCCTACAGCATTTCCCTTCCTTTTGATTTTAATTTTCCCTCCAGCAGTCAGAATTCAATTTCAGATGTCAACAGCTCAGTCCTCATGAGTATGCGGTTCTTGCAATACTTTTAATTTTGGGGTTAGAAGTTAAGAATGCTAAACCCTGATCAAAGAAGCCATCCCTTGGAGAATTCAACTATACCTTTGTGTTCTGACCCCCTCCTCAGTCCAGTAACAAATGCCGAGACAAGCTTAACTGGAATATACTTTAATTAGCAAAACACCAAAACCTCAGTGGCTGAAAGCCAAGCATAACAAACAGATAAGGACCTTGGCAGCAACTCAAGACAAACTCAGGCAGCAATAAAGACAGATAAGGCTTGGCAGCAATCCAGCCTGCCAAGCTCACAATATTGTCCCCCGACATTCAATCCTGCGTTGACTTTTACAAAGAGGGCCAGGTGCACAAGTAGCTTTTATAGTCTGGAGAGG